ATATATATATATATATATATATAGTATATATATATATATATATATATATATATATATATATATATATATATATATATATATATATATATATATATATATATATATATATATATATATATATATATATATATATATATATATATATATATATATATATATATATATATATATATTCATATATATATATATATATTATATATATATATATATATATATATATATGTATTGTGCCTTTACACACATATGCTATATACTCTTACTCGTGTTGTTGCTTCTTTTTTGGTACGGACGTATGGTTTGATGGGTAAGTATTTGTGAATATCTCGATCTATACTCCGTTTTGAAATTTAGCTGGGACGAGTTCCTTCCTGTTCTGTTTTCATCTGGAAGCCTACACGCGCACGGTTTGATTCAAGTTATTATATCATGCTTTTCAAGGGCGCCGACTCTTCTTGAACAATACTGATCTATTTCACTTAATTCCATATGTGTGGCAATCAAAATGCAATAAGTACGATTTTACTCGTGTTGCGAATGTATTTTGTCATGAGCTGTTGGAATAGCAACTCTGGGTGTGTTTGACTCAATTGTGGGCTTGATTCTGCTGGCGATGGCCTGTGAGTGAATCAAAAGTAGTCTGTGAGTGTCGAACAGTTTGTACCACAGTTTCTGTGCGGTCTTCCTCTTCCCACAGTAGAGCTTGCAATCAAGGCAATGTTAGATTCATGTACGCCTCGATGTGGTGGTGCGATAAATGTATGTCTCGTATGAAGTCTTACATTTATTCCTCTTGACTCGTCGTACAGCTTCTTCGCAAGGAAAGAGAATCCAGAGCCAAGCGACGAAAAGAGAATGGCCTGGATGTAGACATCATTCGTGATGATGAGAAGGAAAGCCTGCCAGGTGTTGGCAGTTCTGGGTTGAATTTGGTTGATGATGCTACTGCGGCCCTTGATGCAGATGATAAAGATAGCGACGATGATGAGGGTATGTATATTGTGTCTATTGCGCAAGTTCGAATGCCGTTATCCAGAGATCTACGGAAGTTAACTCGTTTCACTAGGAGTCAGCATCCTTTGCATTGTTCAGTGCTTGACGGGCGGATGTACAGGCAGCATAGATTCGGTTCATGAGAGAGCCCCAGCTCATAGAAGTATAGTAGTTACTTATAATAGTTACTTCATGGCTCTGTGCAATTACATTCTGCTGTATACAGATGCATGCATATAAATTTACGCAGGGGTTTTTTTTTTGCGTATCCATATGTTTTGCTTCATTTATATTCAACCTACGTGCCTAATGTGCGGACTCATATTTTTTTGCTACATCTTACACTTGACTCAATCTCAGCCATTTCGTGCATGCTAAAGTTGGTATCGAGCATCGTCAGTACTCAATGGTAGTTGTACAGCTTTACACAGGGTATAAAATGTATACTTTATCATACGGTTGTGAGGTGGCTATGGTTTCACGAGTCCGAAATCAACCTGATTTTTGCTCCATCGAAGTGATGACCCGAAAAAAGGTTACTAGACAGTTATCACATTTGTTTTGCAACTGTTATGAGTCATATTTTTTATCTAAATCAATCATATTGTCGGCTCGCATTTTATGGTTCGCAGACGATTCGGATGATGACGACTCGGACGACGACGAAGCTGAACTGCTCAGAGAATTGGAAAACATCAAACGGGAACGTGCAGAGGAGCAGGCAGAAAAAGATGCAGAGGAAAGGGAAGAGCAGGATAGGATCCGAACGGAAAGTCTCATGCAGGGCAATCCGTTATTGCACGAGAACAGAGACTTTGCTGTTAAGAAAAGGTGCGTTGAAGTGGCATGCTCCGTGTGTCGCTGTCCTGTTTTTTTTTGTATGGTGCAGGGCGACGAGTTAGATGCAGTCGTTACCATTGCCATCTTCCAATTCGCAGTACTGTGACAAAGTACCTTTTCTTAAAAACTTTGATTTCACGTAGGTGGGATGATGATGTGATTTTCAAAAATTGCGCGCGAGGGCTGAACGATAAGAAGGAGCAGACATATATAAATGACACAATTCGATCAGAATTTCATCGTCGATTCATGAAGAAGTAAGTCATGCACAGGCCTTTCAACCTCTGTTCTGTTTTGTATGCATCTACTTTTTATATTACTGCTGCGAATATATGTGATCGGGATTTCTTATTCAGACAGCACACTTATCGATTTTTAAATTCATTTGCAGGTATGTGCAGTAAGGAATATGCACGAGGATCGAATACACCGGAGTGTGGAATCATGGCTAGGTACGTGTAGAGGTATTCGAGTACTCGACCTCAACGATATAGGCATCAATTGCGAGCAGCTCATACATCATTTCAAAAGAGTCTGTCAAATGTGAGGATTCGCAAATACCACAGACGCACGGAATGCCAATTGCAACATAGCCGTGCCCGTCTCGAGCTTGGCGTTGCGAATCCTTTAGCAAGTCTGAGGCTTCTTGATTAATTGCACCAACGAATGCCGCTGACTTCGACATGATTGCTTGCTAATCAGTAGCCAAGTAGCCGCCAAGTTACGGGGTCGCGAGGCAAGGCTTCACCCACGCCATTGATTATACTGATACAATCTCGTCACCAAAGAATACCATTCACTATGAACCGAGCTTAGGCACATAAAAACACAGCTCGGATTTGGACCAAAATTGATTTGTCGGGATGTTTATGACGGTATCGTACCTTTGAACCATACTGTTCTCACTGCTTGTTATTCTCCATCAACTTAGGTAGTTATTAGACACTGAGATATATGGATGGTAAGGTCGGTGTATGAGTTGTGTTCATGTTTAATGCTGGCTCTTCATGTGAGTGCTAATTTCACCCCCATGTCTGCGTCGACGCCACTATTCTAGTTGGTGTACAAAGATAAACTCTATTTACAAATTTCGGCACACGTCAATAGTGCAGGCGTTTACAGTAGTTTTGCTATACTATCATTTGCTCGCCATAAACCTTGCGCACGGTTGTCTGACAAATGTTGATGCCACGTTCTGGTCATTTCTAAGTTCTGGAACTTTTCCTGCCGCAGTAGTCTCGCTTTAAAAGCCTGTGTGGGTACCTGGCTCATCTCTCCACTAATAAATAGAAAATCAGCTGCTATTGATGTTCTCACAAGTACCACAATGCAAAAAGATGCAGCATTGTACCGAGTATATGTCTAGATAACTAGATATCCATGTTAAAGTGTAATGTACATTTTCATGGCCACTAAAATGCCAAAGGATGTTAATAGTAGGAATTGAAGTATGCTAAGAGTACACTTCTCGGTATTACTATCCTGTCTGGCTTTAGACAGCCTTAAGCAATCCTAACGATTGAGTTATCAGATATGCATGTGCTCGGCGGTGCTCGGATGCTCGCTAAACAAACACACAAGTGATGATATGTCGTGACCTTTTCTCTAATAGAGAGACACGGAACAGGAGAAAATCCTCCGTCCCCAGGCATAGCCTCTTCAAGAATAGAACACCCAGGGGATTGACGATTTCTTTATTTTTCCTGCCTCTACTCTCGCATCCAGAGGTTCATGGATACAGTACATCAACATTGCCTCCCAAAATAATAAACACTTCAATCATAGCCTCCCAAAATAATAAACACATCAATCATAGCCTCCCCCCTAAAAGATTCACATCAAAAAAATGCAACTAAACCCTGGAGCAGTACATAACCCTACTAGCAGATAAGTCCGAACATGATTTAAAAATAAAAATAAATGAACCCTACTAGCAGATAAGTCCGAACATGATATATAAATAAGAAATAATGACGAAAATGAATCGAGTATCGATTGTTCTCTCTCTCTCTAGTAGAGGAGGCTATGATTTTATAGAACTCGACTCAGTATGCACGCAGCGAATATGCTGACAACAAGGTGTGGTTTGTTGAAGACATGTGTGGTTGAGATTGCGGTGATCGGACGATGGCCGAAGCGTCAGATCCGAACGGTCGCATTCCCGGGGAGTTACTATGAGGTAAGTACCGATTGTGTAGACGTATGGTGTTAGTGAGGGACTTAGGGGTTGTCAATACTGAGGTCGCATGCTTACAGAGATACCTGATTGTCTACTAAAAAAGGCTCTATCATATATAGCAGCCATTTTCAATCAATCGACGGCGATGCCAATATGAATATCTATTGGATTTGTATAGTTGAACTCATGGTTAGATGTGGAATATGGTATTTGCATTTTCGATTCATGTTGTAGAAGCTCACTGTACGCTGATAATTATGTTCAGACTCTCGGTATCAGTGACAAGGCTACTGAGAAGGAGATCAAAGACCGGTATCTGGCCCTTTCAAGACAGCTACACCCTGACTTGCATATGTACCACAATTTCCAGGCAAGCGGAATCTGGGGTTGAGGGTGACTGAACGTGCTCAGGTTTGATTTCTTTAGTCTTGTGACAAGTGGTCTATTCGAGGAGAACAAATCAATGTATCATAACGTATAATGTATTTATAATTTATACAGGGATCGAGGACGACTTCACAATATGATTTGGTCCGTAGTGCTTACGAGGTGCTGGGTACTCCCCTTTCCCGCCGGTCCTATGATCAGGTTAGTAATAGCGAGTTTGGCTTGCGAATATAAGGTGAGGTGACTTGTAGATTATTTGTTGCTAGTACACGTTGTAGGTGTGATTGTGCGTGTTATGAAATGTAGGCAGCAGTAAGTTGATACTAAGTGGGGTTTTTATTAGTAGTACTTGGTGGTATCAGCCTCAATTTTTGAGTCCACTCTTCGCACCTAAGTACTGGAGAACGCGTGGGAATTGGAACCTTGTTACCACCGACTATTTGTCGTCAGCCCAAATAGTAATGTATTCTCTGGTATTCAAATAATACCGCTCATGCTGTTACTGCCAACATATCAATACCAAGTATGCGCGATATTTCAGAACCATTTTCCAACACAAACCTTATATGCTCTATTGACATTTTGGATCATATATCGATATTGACGGATGGATATTTTCATGCGGCTAGCCTACTAAGTTTTTTAATAATGTGCAAGACGAGGGTAATCACTGAGTTACTTTCCGTTTTGATCACGGGATATCAGAAGCTGCACGACATGCGCTATCGAGGGGCAACCACTAGAAGTGGGTTTCAGAGACCTCAAGGTATGGTGTGCGCGACATGCATACGGTTTCTCAATGGGCTACTCAACTATTTCAATATATACTTTGAAAGTACATCCATGTATATACCAAGCTATATTATCTCGGTCAACATATGAACGACATCGTAAAATTTTTCATTTGCTTTGCCAGCCTAGTGTTTGTAATTTTAATATCTCTTTCGGTGGTAAAGATGGGACGACAATGACTTCACGTAGAGAAACTCCAAGTCTCGAGCGGATTTTCATCGCAGAATACACAATTGAGATTCAGGCCTCGTACCTCAGCAAGAGACATTTGGAGCACGAACTATGCCCAGTATCCATATCTTAAATTATGCAGACGCAATGCTGGAGCGGTATACTTTCCAGATGCTCCTATATTATTTTTATCAGATATGTTATGCAATGGTACATATTAGCCGTTGCTCCTCACCTTTATTAGTATGTCTGAGATGGCGGTATTTTGGCTCTTTGTACAACTGCCCCTTAAAGTCATAGCAGTGTTTCTTCCAAACGGGTTTGTGCCGAAACGTAGTTCAGAACAAATTTGTGCATGGCCGGTATCGTCTTTCACCGGCTTTTCACTATTGTTTTTTCGATCAGCATAGAGGCGGCACACCCATCGGTAGATTTCAATAGGACTACATTCTCGAAATTAGCCTTTGCCCTGGTAGGGTGTTTAAGGTATGTATGCTCTCCGTAGTCGACACTTCATAGTTCATCTCAGCATATGCCGATGCCATGCTTTCCCTTTGTGTGCGTATGTCGTTTATATCGTTTGTCCGATGGCATGCTCTCCCTTTGTGTGTGTATGTCGTTTATATGGTTTGCCATAGAAACATTACCGTCCGATCACCCTAGTTGTCAAGACACGTGAAAGCGAGGTACAGTAACTCGAAGCATCTTACATACTCGTACGCCCAAAAAACCCGCACATACACGCATACATCTTCCATACATATCTACATATACACATGCCTAATATATAGACATACGATGAGATGAACATCAACGTCGTTTTTTCTTCCTTATCTGAATCCCATTCCTGTCTAGTATCATGGCACTGGGCGCCGCTTTGCAGAGCGCTTGGTTGCGAATAGATCCGATGGAGGCTAAATTACGAAGGCAGCGCGAAAGAATGAAGGAAGTATGTATTTGGGATGTGGTTTTGATGCGACGTATATACTTCTAATCTGCTGATATGTTTGGTTAAAATATAACATAAATTGTCGTTTTGAATTTGGTTTGTTGTAAAATGGGTGGAGATTTTCTGTTCGCAGTGTATTGTACATGCCTTAAACGCTCACAAAAGGCTAGTTTTGATGTGCAGAACTGATTTTTTTTGTGATTTGGTGTATGGTTTTTTGATCATCATCGCAGAATGAAGCCAGCTGGATTACCAGACTGAAGGAGTTGGAGCAAGACAAACAACGGTCGCTTCAGCACGAGAAAAGGAAATTAGAGTCGACTGCCTCTGCTTAGAATTGCGAGCTTCCCACCGAGAGTTAAAATTTAGATTCTAAACAGAATATAGGAATTAAATAATCAATATTTACTCCGAATTTACATTGACTAAATCGTCAATTAATCTGATCCACCGTGTTCGCAAGGATGCAGATTCACGAGGAGTTGCTGTCGCTCGGACGTGTAGTGTTCGTGAAGTCTTACAAATCAAATTGTTTCAGGTCCACAAGCACGGCCAAATTGACTGCATGACTGGATGTACAGCACGGCAGTTCCCGTCAGCCCTTCATCTCAGAATCGTCAGCAATGAGACATGAGTGTGGCAGATAAGCATCCTATGTCATGTACCCTATAAACAGTATTCAGATATCTCGCGCATATGCGAACTAATCTGACTGTGTTCAGCTCCATGAGGTTGTTTTACTCAAACTCTTGAACCTTGTCGCTATGAGAAGATAAGGTGACATAGTACCTGCCGTTGTGCCTTTACCAGTGTATGAAACAGACCTGCGGTGTGATTTACACCTTAATATCAGATCCAACCTTTAGTTCTTTCTCACAATAGATACGTCGAACCTAAGTTCTGGGACGATGCAATCCCACATTTGTGGTCCTTACAAGCGCCAAAATTCGAAGACAGGATTCGTCAACGCGACCGATTCGATTGAAAGCTACTGGAATCTATGCACACCTACTGGTTTATCATATCACAAACATTTTTTTAAAATTATTTTGCTAGTCGTACACGTGTAATTACAGTGATCTGAAATGATTTCAATCGAACGAATAGACTGATTTCGAACTCAATGGAGTCATATAGACCACGCGAGGCACTCTTCAACAAGAGTGCGAGATGATAATTTAGCTATGTATAGAACGGAAAAGAATAGATGGATTAGCTGCAACAGTGCATTTCGCTCCTTTCAATTTGATACTATTTCAAACAACTAAAACAGGTTAAAAATTCTCTACAACTAAGCAGAGCACGAGACATATCAGTCTATGAATATATGTATATAATAATGATGCAGGGAATCTTCACGTCGTTTCCAACATATATACATGATTGGTCGACTGCGGCTCCATTTGCATTTAAGTGATTCTAAAGAGAAGATAAAACACCCCACGCTAAGCCAGACTACAATGTGGCACCGACTACATTACCGGCCATTGCCACACTACTATGTCCATTTTAATGAATTTGCTGATCATTTGCGTACTACGCACAGACCACTTACGTAACCTTCAGGTATATGATAAGCGCTATCAGCGCCAGGATGCTTCCTATAATCAGGTACATGAGCACCTTGTTCTGCACAATCCGCCGTGCCATCGCATTGGCCACGCGCATACTCCGTTTCAGGTTGGAGTCTGTCTCATCCAGCGTTGTACGCGCGTGGTTGATCGTCTCCCTCTGTGAGTTCAGATTATCCATGATACCAATGCCCACCTGTTCGATCTCAAGCGCCTGCCGTTGCGCACTCTGCAGATTTCTGCTGGTCTGCTGTATCCGTTCCGTGTCTCGCAGCAGCAGCTGCCTTGAGTCACTGCCCGTCATATCCTCGTTATCGTACCCACCGGCATCCCCTACGAGTTCGTCCCGCAAGTGCTCGGTATACGCCACAGCAGCCTTGCGCAGCTCTTTCTTGATCACCTGAGCATCTTGTCTGTAAGTCTCCACACGTTGCAGTAGCTGTCCTCGCTGTGGCTGACTATACTCTCGCGCTTCTAGTTCCATCTGCTCAACGATATCTGAGAGTTCATCCAAATCAGCCTCCACGGTTTCAACAGCTCTGCGTTTCGCCGAACTGGAGGCGGGTTTAACCTGAAAAGTATATAAACAACCCAATTTACTACTGTAAGTACGATTATCAATGCTAAAAAGGTGTTTTGAGCAATGTAGAACGACCATGTCCTGAATGTGTACCCTATAGGAACTATGCTGATTCCAACTCCAACATGTGCTCACCGGTGGACACTCAACTCAGATACAACCAGGTATCCCCACAGAACACACCTCAATGATATATCCAACATTCAGTGAAATAGTAGCTGATAGTGTAAACCCATATTTTGTGGGGTCGAATCACGGGAAATCATACCAATAAAAGGACACGCGCGAAGGCAGGCAGAAACTTGGATATAAGCATTGCAAATTCGGGTTCACTAATAAATGCGCTACACGACGAACGTCCAAACAAAAGAAGAAGTGAGCTCCCAGACTGAATTGATTTAGGCACTACAGACTCACACCATGCATAATTCTGCCGCATGTATCGATTTGTATGCTATGTGATCTTTGTTGCGGGTGTACATACAAAATGGGAGTGTGGGCTCGTAAACAAAACGGCTTGGGCATTGACGCACAGGATCCATACTCTATAACAGAGAACAAGATGAGCAGAATCAATAACAAACAATAAAGGCGGACACGCAGTGAACTGCCAGTTTAGAGGAGGGACTATGCATCGTTCAAAAACGCACTTAAAATGAGAGATGCGTAACTGGCAGAAAGCTCATCAGCCTGAAACCAAAACCTGAAGGCATATCGAATATGTATGCCATTAAAACATCAACTCCTAAAGGATAATATAGAAGGCTATTATTAAGAGGTACAAAATTTACAAGTGGGCAGACTTGATAGAAGCAGCTAACCAAGTGCAAGACATTTCAGAAACATAGAAGCATACAACGCAGCATATGGTACATAAGCATCCAAAAGAGGAATGAAGACTACTTTCATAGAAAGACGATAAAAGAAGTGTACTCATGAATATCTGTAGAGCTTAAACGGAGCCAGAGTAAAGATTTCACAGAACGATACCCGCAATTATTCTACATAGGCTGCTTTAAAAACCACTTACAGAAGTCTCGATCATGTTGCGGATGTGCGACGAAAGCTCTGCGAACTCTTGTTCATTGGATTGCATCGCGTTCATCATGTTGGTGGCTGATCACAACAGCTTGTATGTGCTACCGATTCACAATGTGTGTAGCGTCTGCCGTACATAGCGTTGTAAAGACATTTATTAAATTTGAACTCTGTGATACGATTGTTACGAACGCCTAAAAGAGAGATGAGAATTGAGAGTACATGAATATATACATAATCAATTCTCAAGTACCGAACATCCAGTAAATTAGTCGGTGACTCACTGATAACCATAAATATTGCTCTTATTTGAAAAAGAAAAAGAAAAAATAGAAAACCTGGCTCGAGCCTGGAGTGGTCGGTGGTTCATACCTCATATCTAAATTTATATTTGCAACGACAACGTTCCAACATGCACATACTTTCCCATAGTTGTTATTGGTTCTGGACTGCGTCTCGGTTAGTGATATAGAGAAATATAGCTGCTAGAAGGGGCGCCACAAACAACAGCACTCGGGGGGAGGGTGACATTAACGTCTGAAAAAGTAAAAATATATATGTATGCAACGACAACGTTCCAACATGCACATACTTTCCCATAGTTGTTATTGGTTCTGGACTGCGTCTCGGTTAGTGATATAGATAAATATAGCTAGAAGGGGCGTCACAAACAACAGCACTCGGGGGGAGGGTGATATTAACGTCTGAAAAAGTAAAAAATATATCACGAAATCGAATCCTTGAGGCAAATGTCTAAATCGAAGGCAAGGGTTAATATCAAATACTTTATAACAGATGCGAACCAAAAAAATAGAATAAACAGAACTGGTCTTCGCGGTTGTGAGTCTGCAGAGTTTGAAGAGGACTATGGACTCTCTTCAATAGCAACACCAATTACCTAAAAAAAACCCCCCCTAGATCAATATCCACACGACTATTAAATATCGACAAAATCGGTAACCTTGCGGCTCATATATAGTACGTATGAAAGTTAAATACAAGGTGATCATATAGTGACAGTTCGCACTAAAAAATGCTATATATAATACATATCTAAAGGTATGAATACACAAAACTACCAGGCTCCAGGCTCCAGACCTGAGCCCTCAGAGGATCAGACTCCAGCGTCCAGAGGCAACTTTTTATATTAAAATATCATCCGTAAATATATATAAATACTATATAGAAACATTGATCTAGATTTGTAACTAAATACCTGCACATATATTTATTCAGATAATTTTTTTCGATTGCAAAACGTTCGTGTAAAGTAAATATATATGAACATAAAGAGACTAAAGTCCACGTATGTGCAAGTGTGTATGGCGTCAAAAAACTGCACTCAACCACCCCTCTCTACTTTACTACTGTCCTCAAATCAACCCTTTAGGAGCTACAATTATCAGTATTTTACTAGTTTTTATTTCTCAATACTTTTCAGACATATTATTCTTTGAGCGTCATAGTAGTCAAAACATGGGCTAATTTGCCTGTTTTGCGTCTGGAGGTGATTTTGACTTTGCACATAATTAGGCGCTTGAATTGACCTTTCACAGACGAGCCCTGGGTATTTTGAGTTGCCTTGGGTATGTATGAGTCCAGGTTCTCCACAGATCCTTTATAATAATTGTCATGCATATAGTTCGTTGATCCCGCAGTTCGCGCCCAAATAGTCGTGTCTATGACGGATATCCTGCCACGGTTTGACTTTAACGCCCATGTTTCCCGTAATTCGTGGGCCACGTGGGCCGAGAATTCCTCAGATGGATCCGCTTTGGGGCTTCTCTTCTCATACTCGCATTTGCCACCGCGTATAGTCTCGTCAGTGATGTCACGCATTATTGAAGCGAGACTCTGGCTACTGATAGCGCCGAAATCCTCAATCACTATGTTGTCAGAAGTGAAATGTGGAGAGCGTTTGGATGCATTTTTAGCAATCGTGATTATAGCGGACACGACGGCACAATCAGTTTTATAAGACGATGTCTCGGTATTGGCGGATGTTCGGTGCATTTTATCAGAATATAGAACCAACTCTGTTTTAGATATA